GAGAATGAGCGGCTTTTGCTTAATCTTGACTATACCTATCCTGTTGGATAGCCATCATGCTGATGTTATCTATAATAGGTCTGTTTGTCATTGCTTAAGCAAACTTTTTAACCATATCTCTTTCTTCAGGTGCAACTCATGAACTTTCTATTGGAAGTTCACTAGCTTGCATCTCTTCTATTTTGACAGGATCTTGGACTTACTTGCCTTGCCTTCTTTCATCAGCTATGGAACAACCTATCTGGATGTCCCATCGAGCATGCCTGTAACGACCCAAGTTTTTATTCAACCCAGTCTTTCAGCGGTGACCCGAACGTAAATCCAACAATGAATCAAAATGTGGATGAAAAAGGTAAAATAATGGTCTCTAGAGATACTACATATCTATAAGACACCTATATGACCCTTAACGAGATCACGGAACCCAAAGAAAATAATTGTGGAAACGACGTTTCAAAAACTGATAAGAATGAGCCTAGGGGCAAAATGGTCTTTTCCAAAATGAAAGTGAGTGCTGCCAAGCACACCATTGGAAAGACAATGAAAAATTAATGAATTTTGACTCAAGAATCACCTGATTCAGAGTCTAGACGAAAAAGATATGAATTTAGAACCAAATGGCCTTCTTCATTTTGGAGTTACCACGACCCTATCTCACTAAAATTGCAATCACATTCACTATAGATAGAGTTTTAATGTATGGTTGATACCATTGGAAAGCTAACTTCAAGCTCTTGAGTTTAGACTTAAGAATGGCCTGATTTGGGTTAGAAATTAAGAAGTTATGGCTCTCTGAAGTTGCTGTAACAATACTGTCCAAGAAAAATTAAAAGAGGAAGTTTCTAGGGAGGATCAGCCGGCAGAACCCTCATTATCAGCCAACCAAACCCCCATCATTAGCCGACCAAACCCCAATGATCAGCAGGCTGAAATGCCAAAAATCCCAAAAAGGCTACTAGAATTGGTCTCGAACAGTCATCAGTCAGTTAATGATTGCTATCAGCCGGCTGATGGACCTAGCAGCAGCAGAAAAAGCTGCTATAATTCATGGGGAAGGTGTTTGGCTTAGTTCTAAGGCTATGCATGCTTCCCATTTGATCCAAACAAGTTTTAAAACATCCCCTAGCCTTATGCAAGCATAAAAAACATGTTAAATCATAATGAAGCTTTGAATCATATCTCAATGCATAGATTTTGCTTAAATTTTCATAAATCCTCCAAAAATAGTTCAAAAATTGCAATCCATGTATTCCTTGAGATGTAATCATCCTCGCATGTGTATAATGATGAATTAGATGCGCTAGAATGGCCTATGGCCTCATAGCATGTCATATGCAAAATATGACCCTTTAATACATGAAATCCCATATATTCCATAAACAAACTATGAAGTTAAACTAGCATACATGTCATATAAGTGTGTTTGACCCTTGTCCTCATTACATATACATACAAGGAGTATCAAAAGGTGCACTTAAGTGCACATTACATTATTTGAATATTAAATACATGTTTTGTCAAATTAAACCAAAATGGAGCATGATATGCTAACAAGTGCATATTCTAACATAACAAAAATACTCCAAGTAGTCAAGCAATCCTAAGAGTGTTGTGCATCCCACAATAATGCCACTTTACCTGAAAAACACCCAGTAACTTCGGTGATATACAACTTGGAATTGAGAGTATGTTTCTATATGGATATATTGTTGGCTTATGATTTTTTAGCATTATGGATATGAAATGCTTATTATGCACAATTGAGAGTTATATTGCTAACTTGTTACTATGTAATAGTAATATGTATAAGTTATGAACTTATTTGGCTTATTTTGGAATCTTGGAGCATTGTTGAGTTGAGATGGCTAGGGTTTGGCTCTAGTATGGGGACGTAAGTCCTCTAAGTCATTGAGATAGTGCGCACTTAGGGTGGTCTTCCCTGCGGGTTAGTGCCCGGAATAACCATTGAGGTCTCGGCAGAATTCCGAGCGTGATGTCCAAGTATTCCACTGTTTGTTTTCGCATTCAATTCCAAGTTGACAATCATGTTTACCTTGTTAACTTGTGGTTTTGGCTATTGGCGATTTTGATGTTGTTAAGTACATCCATACTAAATTGATATATTTAGTTGATTTCACACTTTTAGATTTCTAATTGATAACCTAGAGAATCTATGTCTTGATGTGTGGTATTAGATATTCTATTATGCTAAATTGTTATATTTAGTTGATGTTGCATTTTAGACTTCAAGTTGATAACCTTGAGAATTTATATGCTGTTGCTTTATGTAAGTATGTGCCTATGTAGTTGCTTTGTGTAAGCATGCTCCTATGTTGTTGCTTTGTGTAAGCATGACCCTATGTTGCTAAAATTGCATGAATGAGGTGATTGATGCTAGAAATGATCTTAGGTAGCTAGGATGCTCCTTGAGTCTCACCTTTGACATAGACGTTAGGTGGAATGAACCACAATAATTAAATCATACAAACTTGTAAAACGTAGGTTGATATATGCTCATTTCCTACGAGTAGCTTTATGTTACTCACCCCTACGATACTGGGGCATATTTCAGGTACAAAAATTAAAGTTGAGGTCTTCATTATGCTTGGATGGTTTGTGGACTTGGAGACTTCCACTTTTGTGAAGGTTGGCTTGGAATGCCAATTGTAGTCTTATATGTCAACATGTGTACATTTGATTCCTTATATGTAATGTGTACGTAAGTACACTCTTTTCGATGTATTTGACATGTATGAGATGAGGCCGGAGGTCAATGACATGTAAATTGTATCCTATATAAATTTTGACTTCATGGAATATTATGAAAGTATTGTAAAATATTGAGTTTTTGATTCACCATGTTTGCATTGGGTGTGGGAATTCCATTTTGATTCTTCCATTAGCATTCATTCACCATGTATGAAGTGTGGCCAAGGGCCAAGCGGCATTTTGAAACCATTTCATAGTTTTGAATTCAAAGTTTTCGTTCTAAACTTCATTTTTGGCATTTTGGCCGTTGGGGGGGGGGGGGGGGGGTCATATTTTGCATCGGCCATATTTTTGGGCCATGGACCATTGTAGCATATCTTACTAGGTAAGTTACGTTTGTGTGCATGGTCGTTTCCGGGCAAAGCTTTTTATTTGGTGAAATGAGCCTCCTATGGACTCATTTTACACTTTTGTTGCATTTTCTGACCTAAGGGTATTTTGGAAATTTTCTTTGGGAAATAAATTCCGTTCTTCATATGGTTGAATAGAAAATATGATTTTAGGGGGGGTTTATTTTTTGTGTTTTTCCAGAAAATGCCATCTTGGCATCGAAAATCGCATCCGAAGTTCAGTTCTCAGTTTTGAAATTTAGCAGCTTTTTGGACCCTCTGGACCAGTTTTCTTGGGAGGGCATTTTGGGCATTTCATGTTGCGTATTTTTCAATTTTTTAAGCTTGACACATAGAAAACTCGATTTTGAGGGGGGTTTCTTCTTTGAGTTTTTCCATAAAATGTCATCTTGGATCTCAAATTTCCATTTTTTCCCGGGAAAACCCTTGCTGCCAGGTTTTTTGGGCTGCCCATTCTGCCTCCTTCACATGTAAACGGTTACGAGGGGTTTCGTAACCGGTTACATGTGCATGGGAAGTGTGTTTCTCGTGATTTTTGGCTTCCTAACCGGTTCTCCTAACCGGTTAGATGTTCTTGGTTGACCCCTTTTTGACCGTTTTGCCCCTTCTTATTCCGTAAGCCATATCTTCTTCATCCGGACTCCGAATCAAGTGATTTTTGAGTCTAAGTTCATTGATTTTTCGTTGTCTTTCCAATGGTTTGCTCGTTGGCACCCACTTTTAGGCTAGAAATGATGATTTTGCCCCTAGGTGCATTCTTGTCCGTTTTTGAAATGTTATTTCTGCATTTGATTCCTTTGTGTCCAGTGACCTCGTTGAGGGTCACAATGGTGTCTTAGAGTCATGTTGTATCTCTAGAGACCGTTGTTTGTCTTTTGCTTCCGCATTTCAGATCCGTTATCGGTTCATCACTGACGCACTGGGTTGAAAAACTTTGGCCGTCACAGTCGTAAATGCGACAACCTTATTACCGTTAAGGTACATATATATATAGATCATCTTATATAGTTTACATAATTAGACTATATTCAATATGAAAGAGAAAAAAGGATTTCTATCTTTATTTTTGTACTAAACATCTACAATTGTTAATTTTTGTTTAGGGTTAATAAGTTTGGACAGCCGATCGGCCCTAGAAGTGGTACATATACTAATTATTTGGGAACACTTGCCCGGAATGCTAAATTGGCTCCTTTGTGCTACAAAACTTGGTGGGAGATGCCTAAACGGCTGAAGGAGGATATGTGGAACGTTGTAAAGGTAAAACCTTTCAATGATATTAAAATAATTTTTATGGAAAAAGTGGATTAACATGCAGCAATTATCACATTTTCAGGGAAAGTATGATTTGGGAATCCTGTCAAAACATTGGACAATATCCTCCATCGGAAAAAAATGGAGGGGCTACAAGTGTGAATTAAAAAGTGAATATTACTCGGTTAGGGATACAGATGCAGAAAGATTGGCAAAGCCACCACCTGATGTTGAAAATGAGCATTGGGAATTTTTGGTTAGGCATTGGGGTACACCTATTGCGAAGGTCCTCTATCTACCAATTTTGTTTAAAGTCAATGAGTTGAATTTATAATTTACCTGCTTTCAACCATTATTTTAGGTGGAATGTTAGAACGTTTACTTTTTCTCACTTTTTGTAGGAGGTCAGTAAAAAAAACAAAGAACGTCGTGGAAAGTAGACAATGATGCATACTACAAGGACAAAAAGCTTTGCACGTGTTTCTGCCGAGGTTAGTTGAAGTTTTGGCAATATAAATAATTTCAGTTCTTATGTCGTTCAATGATTATAAATGTTAGTGGTAAATAATAATATATATCACAATATCTATGTTTCTTTTATAGATTGAGGAAGACGAAGGTATTCAACTTTCTCGTGCAGATTTATTCGTTCGCACACATGTAAATAAGGATTGCAAAGCTACTGATGCTGCTGCTTCGGAGATGATTGTAAGTTTTCATGCTTCCATTTTGCAAAAAGGGGGTCACGTGCCTTGAAGTGACCAATTTTTAAACTCTCTGCGGTGTATTAGGGGGTCACATGTCTTAAAGTGACCAATTTTTAAATCATCCGCCCGTGTGGAAGCATTTTAATTTCATTGTTTATCATCGGCCCGTGTGGAGGCAATTTACTTTCTTGTATTTGTTGAAAAACATGGGAGTATGGAATCATTGTATGTGGAGGCTTCTTGTTGATTGATTTATGTTATGGAGAAGTATTTGCTATTTATTGTTTGTGTCAATGTGTCAATCATATTCTCCCCAACATGTATTTAATTTCCATTAACACTTGTACTCTATTTGTTCTCTCATCTTTTCTTCGTTTCTAAGTTTTATTGCTTCATCCTTGTTCTACACCTAATAATTCTTGGGAAATTATGGACACAATGTGAAGTTGTTTACATTTTTAGATTTCTGGCTCTGTTGAAGTTGTGTTCAGTTTATTAAATTCTACTATATTGACATTGAGTTCATTTTCTAAAATTCTACATCTATTGTATGACCTTGCTGGTGTGTACTATTACTGCTATATTGGGATTGTCATTGAGTTCTTCTTTGAACATCCCGTGCTTGTCCTTGAATATGTTAAACACATCTGTTGAAACCCAAAATTGTTGGTTGAGAACTGATTGATAACTCAAAAATCACAATCAAGTTAGGGTAAGAGGAAAAGAAAATACACTTCACCCTTTAATTCTTGGGAAATTAAATCATTCATACAAGATAGAAACCCACCAAGGAGACATTCATTGATTTTACGTTTTTTTCTTCCCTTTGTTGATTTCTTGAGATTCAAGTTTTTAAAGATTTTGTGAAGACCAATAATGGAAAGGGAGATAAAGGGAGGAGAGAAAATTAATAAAGTATGTTCTGATTCTAAAACTCCATATGGAATCTCAAATCTAATTACAAGATATTGCAATAATAAGAATGGAGGAAAAATTCGGATAGAAAATCAAATGAAAGAAATCAAGATGGAGACTAAAGTGGAATAATAATAATATATCCTTTAATTTGAACCTCAAACACTTCGTTAAGTTTGCCTGGATTCTTCTCGTGCTAGAAGCTGCGTGGTTCAAGAGAGCTAGTAGATAGAAGACCTACAATTTTTTTGGAATTTAGAAGTGACAAGATGTGATGCTGGTGATTTTTTATTTTTTTCTCTGGAAAAGAAATGATGTTGGTGATTTTATAAGTTTGAGGTTTTGAAGTGTATATATATATTTGAAGAGAAGTTTAAGGGATGTAAAGAGGAGGTTAGTGGAACATGAATATCACTAGCCTTAATTTATCCTTCAGTTGTTTGTAAAATTCTCCCACATTCCTATCAGCATAGAGATTTTGCACATTTTCGTTTAATTTATTGACTAATTAATCTTGATGTCATAGCTCACAATAATATGCAATAGGGTGTTTTGGAATCTGGACCACTAGGTTATTAATGTCTTTCAAGAAACTTGGGATGCGCATCAAGTTTAAGGTGTACGTATTTGGTTTAAAGAAATTGAACTTGTATGAATGATTTTAAGAAAATACCTATTTGGTTTAAAGAAATTGAACTTGTTCGTTAATACCATTTAATTCTTGGGAAATTATTTACATTTTTAGATTTCTGGTTCTGTTGGAGTTGTGTTCAGTTTATTAAATTCTACTATATTGACATTGAGTTCATTTTCTAAAATTCTACTTCTATTGTATGACCTTGCTGGTGTGTACTATTACTGCTATATTGGGATTGTCATTGAGTTCATTTTTTGAATTTTACAACTCAATTTGAAAAAAGGTATGGAAATTTACATTTTTAGATTCTGGTTCTATTGAAGTTGTGTTCAGTTTCTGAAATTCTACTATATTGAAATTGAGTTCATTTTATGAAATTCTACTTCTATTTGTATAACCATGTTGTTGTGTGCTACAACTGCTATATTGGGATTGAAATTGAGTGAATTTTCCGAAACCGTACTGTTTCCCATTGTCAACATGTTGCTGATTAGTGCCCTGAATTCTTCAATTTAATGTGTTCCTCTCAACCCCAATCATCGAAGTCCTAAAACAATATAGAAAAACATCTTTCAAAGGCACACCTCTGTTTAGTTTTCAAAGTTTTAGAATGTACTATTTTATGTAGCGTTTGAAGCAATGCAATCTATGATGCAGTAACCTAATTATGTTCGCATGTGTCATAGTTTCTTCTTTCTTTCTTTTTTTCCGCGACAAATAACATGCGAGAAGTTGAACCTTTAAACTTTTACTTGGGAACGTGAACAAATATTTCTCAGCAATAACCTCTGATTTGATAGGAGGTGCTTTATTCTATCACCATACCAGGGGAACAAGAATATGGAAATGTTAATCACCATTAAAGTTGATGCTAATTATTGAGCTCAGATTTTGTGGTTGATATTAATTATGAGATGGCCAAAATAAAGTTCAACTATATTATGTAACGGATGCAATCTGGTAGCCTTCAGCGTGTACAAAATATGATACTCTAGTTGTTATATGTACTTGATTATAAATTATTGTTTTAATTTTCATTGAATGATGATAATTAATGGGTCTATAATGTAAGTACACAAGCTTTGACACCAAATCTTAAGCCATTCAATTCAATCACATGTCGGTCACCATTATTGACTTCAAATCTTTTTATAATTTTTATGCTAAGTGGTCGTTAGCTAGATCAAACTTACTATTTTTGTTTCCATCACAACATGTTTCACATTTTTGTTTCCATCTTAACATGCTTCAAAATTTTATTCTGTAACCAAGTTAGCTTCAATTAAGATTCACAGTTAAGTGAACATTCAGTTAAGTGATGTAACTTTTCCTTGCTTTAAAAAAATATATATTCAGTATGCTCAATGCATTCTTACATTGGACGATTAAAGTTGTTTATTTTTGCGCATGTTATACACGAACGATTTTAATGTGTCAAATGCACAGTACATCGAACACAACCAATACCTACTTTTAAAAAGGGAGGTGACGGTTGTTGTCCAAGAATCATATTAATACCTATCGCAGGGCCCTAACAGCAATTTTTTTTTTTGTTTAAGTATAGCTTCAAATTTGGGAATGATTTGACATTTTGCTTTATCTAATGGTACTACTATACATAATCACAACAATTTGTCATTACTGTTGTGGCCATTCAAGAAAGTGACATTTTTTTTTTTGGGTAGGAAAACATAAAAGAACTTCAAAAAAGTTACTCTGACTCGCCTATTGGCAGTTCCAATGATTTGTTCTCCATTGTGAGGGGAGAAGAGAGAACTGGTCGTGTGCGGATGCTTGGCTTCGGGCCTACACCAAGCGATGTTTGAGGGCCCTCTCCTAGTAAAGCTGAACTGATTAATAATGCGAAAAAATCTGATGAGGAGGCACGTGCTGCACACGTAGAGTTGCAGGAGACCATTTCAAAAATGCAAGCCGACTATGACAACAAGTTGGAAAATTTACGAGCCGACTATGATGACAAGTTGGAAAATTTATAACAACAGGTGGCTATGCTAATGCAGATGCAACAACAAAATTATAGTGGACAGGTATATTTATTATTAGTTTTAATCTTTACTAAATATATGTTTACTTGTGCCAAGATTTTATCTATTTTGTTTTCTTATTTTGAAGGGTTTTGATTCGTGAAATGCTCCTCCTAGAGTATCCCCAAATTCATTATCTAGTCGTGATGCCAATTCAGTTAAGGTTATGAACTTTTAATTTCTCTTATATATATGTTAAATTTTCATTTATTATAATGTGTGCGTAATGAATTTATAAAAAATGTAGGGTAATTCAAATCAAATGGGCAAGAAGACTTGTTGAAGTTGAAGATAGGGTCGTGGCTGTGCTTTTTGAATTTCCTTCACCTTGGATGGGTTCTTTTTGAAAAACTTGTACTACATTTGTCAAAAATTGTTAATTCTTTTTGTCTGACATTTCGTAGCTTTATTTAGACAATTTGGATGGTATATTGGCAGGTTAACTTGTGGTTATATTAGTACATTTTTGCTTTTTGGTTGACATTTACCAGCTTAACTTGTGGTTGTATTAGTAGCCAATTTTGATGGTAATTTTCATATTGGCGGGGTTAACTTGTGGTTGTATTATGTAAAAATAATTTGGATGGTATTTTTATATTAACTTGTGTTATATTGGATGACATTTAGTAGTTGGTAGTATTGATATGTTTTTTTCAAAAACTATAAGGGTAATAAAAAAATATATATATAAAAATATTAAAAAAAAAAAAATTAACCCCTTTACTAGCGCTCTTTTAAAAAGCGCTGGCATAGGGAGGGAAGGAAAAAAAATTTTAAAAAAAATTCAAATTACCCTTTACCAGCGCTTTACCAAAAAGCGTTGGTAAATACATTCTACCGTCCTTCTACCAGCGCTTTTCCAGAAAGCGTTGATAAATACTCTATACCAGCGCTTCTTGGAAAAGCGCTGGTAAAGCCTTACCGACGCAGGCTTTACCAGCGCTTTTTAGGACTTTTACCAGCACTTTTGAGCACTGGTAAAAGCCAGATCTGTTGTAGTGACACCAAGTGTTTGATAAATTTGTTTTAAACTCTATGATAATGTTTTCATAACATTTGCACATTGAATATTAATCACTTCAATATTGTGCAAATGCTAATTCTAAATGATTAGTTGAATTGAATGTATTGAAGCTTAAAGGAATTCATTTATTTGAATCAATGATGATCACACTTAGTTGCATCACTAATTAGCATGATTCAATCTACAAAATGAATTGGTTATTTGCTAAAAGAAATCTACTCATGTGTAGCAAGCTCATTGTTTTACATTCCAAATATTAAGTGGTATCTACACTACAACTCACTTGAAAAGCATTCAACCACAATGAATCATATTTGGCTCTAAAGTATAAAGACAAATAAAATGAGCATAGAGAAGCTAAATTGAAAAAGTTCCATAGTTTGCCGATGACCCTATTCACCCCCCTCTAGGGTCATTACTTGGGCAACAATTGGTATCAGAGCTTCGTCTCTAATTTTGGCCTTAACCGGCTTAGAGTTGATCCATGGCAAACTCTTTAAGAACTTGTCTTACTAAGGGTTTTATGGCCTTTGACCTCCGTGGTGCGTTAGAACCAATTATGATATTTAAAAAGGCTAAATAAAAATTTATCACCAAGCCTTAGATCATTATATATGGAGAGTCTTTGTAAATGATTTCATTGTACCTAAAAGACCATAAATGATACACATTTCCCAAAAGATGACTCTAGATCATGATGTGCTATATTCATGTATTATGGGATTCTTGTTTACTTAGTACAAGTTTTCATTAATTATGCAATTTTGTGTTTAATGCATTATTTATTGATTGAAAATAGTTTTTCTCATGCACTACAATCTTGTTATTGCTCTTGGATTGCTACACTTAGAATTAGATCAAATTTGCTTTGAAAAGTGTAGGTCTCTAGAGAAACATTACTTTTCAATGTGCTATCATTCCTTGAAATGTAATCTGATTATGAAAAGAAATGTATCTTCCTTATAATTGTTGAATCCTTTAAAGATTTCAAATTTGGGAACCTTATTTGTCCTTGCCCATTCAGGAAGAATTTTGTTCATTTTATCAATTCTAAACTCTATCATAGATAATGCACATGGTACTTTTGTTATGATCCATAAATGAAATTGTGTTTCTTATTTATTTCATTTTGGTTCATTGAGTTGTATGTAATCGTAAGCATATATATTCTTTGAATTGACAAATGTTTTTGCACGCTAAGATCACTTAACATTCAATTTAAATTGAAGCATGTTGATTGTATGGAGTAACTCACTTGTGCATTTTATTGAATTTAATTCCAAAAAGAACCTTATCAATATATGATATCCTATATGGACCCATAAGGAATTGGGTACCAAAGAATAGTACTTGAGTGTGCTTTGTAGGTATAGAAATGATTTTCACTCAAGAACAAGTGAATTCTCAAGTTGGTGCGTCAAGCACAAAAGAGATATCATGCCAAGAATTCTTCTCACTCACAAAATGGAAAGGATGCATCACATTGAGAAACGACTCCCAAGCTAATGGAGTTAGTACCATAGGTAAAGAATTCATTTTTCATTAGCATGCTTTATATGAAGAATTCAATCATGAAATTCTAAGCATGATGCTCTTGATATGCTACTTGTTGCTGATAGATGCAAAAATGTCTATATTATAGATTTTGATATTGCCCATGAAAGTAGTTTGTTTTAGTATATGAGTTATGTACATGCTAACACGAAATGATTCTCTATCTTTCAAATGATCTTTAGATTAAAAAATGACCAATCTTTGTCAAAGATTTGCTTTTTGGAAGATATGCCATCAATGGAAAGCATATATTATCTTATGTAGACCATCAATGCTAATTCATTTGAACCTTATCAAATCTATTAAAGTAGCAATGTTTAAAAGTCATCTATATGCTTTTGTGATCTTAAATGTTTTATCCATACTCTATTGTGTCACTCCATGCATATAAATAAAATAAAAAATGAAGTTGTTCAACTTGAAAAGGTTTAAATGGACTTGAGAAATGATAAATCATATAGGTCCTATTTTGAATACCTAAATGAACAAATCTCATTGGAAGAGCCATCTCATGAAAAATAAGAATGCAAATTTCTAATGTCTTCCCAAGAGTTAAATAATGTTCACCACCATTCATTTGATCATTTAATGGTGAATATTTCTTTGTACTAATTAAAGGAACTAATTATTTCTTAAAAGTTGATATACTTTTAACCATGTTCCTTTACCATGTGATCACATCATGATAGGTATCTTGAGTATCATTTGCAACTAAGCTAGACAATTCCCAAAGGTTATACCAAAAAGAAGAAATTGAATACATGTCTTTGTGCAACTATGACTTTCAATTGAAGCAATAAAAATGCTACATGTTTTTGCATGAAATAATTTTTAATTGACTTCATTTTTAAAGTCTATGAAGAAAAATCACCCGGAATTGAAATGTATAAGATTTTGAACTATATGTTTAAAAATATCTTTGGCCTTATGTGATTAAAATAAGCTCCTAGAGCTTTCTTTGAAAGGCTTAGTGATTTTCTCAAGATTGATGGTTTTTGACCAAATTGATATATATGTGTTTTCAAAACTACTCATGAAATTATGTTGATTGAACTTATATACTATCATTGAATCAACATTTATGATTTGTGCAAAGAAGCATATCTTTAGCATGTAAAATAAATTGAAATTAGCATGATGAGTAAACATGATTTCTTTTAGAGTTTAAACTCCTCAAGTGTCATGAAACTTAAATTTCATATATCTATTTGACTCTTTAGTCTTGGGAATATGACATTCAAAGGATACTTTGTTCTAGTTTAGATGACTGATGTGATATCACAAGTGCTATACTATTTTGATATATCCACTTTTAGCACTTTAGAATTTCATGCGATGTTCTCTTAAAGAATGTGTCTAGAAGAGATAGTTAGCTTATCTACATGGAAATTCATGTAGCAAATCTCACATCACATCTATTAAAGAAGGCATTTTTGTATCAATGCCTCATTCTATACACTTCATGAGATATCTTGACATCTTCTCTTGAAAAAAATGTATAAGAGAAATATTGAGCTCATCCACATGTACAATCATGCAGGCAATTATTTCTAATCATACATATCAAAGAAAATATGCTTTTGCATAATCAAGAATTCATTGCATATAACTAGAATGGTAACACTACTTGTATATGCCTTGTGTTTTACACGCCACATGTGATTCTTATCATTCAAAGATCCTTGGCATCAATGACTCATTCCATATATCATTGTTTTATTACATTATCTAGCATATCTCCAATACTTGATATATGATATAAATGGAAGCATACTCATAAGGGGAGATTATTGATAATCTCCTATGAATGTTTATTACATGACCTGTTATGCTTAATTGACTTATTTTGGAAATTGTCAAGCATGTTACAAAATAACTTGTTGATCATCATATTCATTCCAATGAGCTTTCATGATTTTGATAAATTTTTCCCTCATTCTTGAAAATATCAAATGGGAAAAATGTATTAGGATTGAAGCACTTAAATTCTTAGATTTGCCTCTACAAAGGTTTTTGCCTTTTGGCTTACTCTAATTCATGCTTCATTTCTATTTTTGTTATGCTTTACTATGTATACTTCTGTATACTTTTGCCTATTTGAGTTTATATTTCATCTTTTGTTTATGTCTTATGTATACTTTTGTATATGCCATGAACCTTTTATGATCTATTGAACTCATGCTATTAATGAAATTGGTATCTTATAATATAATTGCTTATAGTTTGTACTCTAAAGCATATTATAGTCATTACCACTATATTGCCAATTCTTGATGCAATCACTTCACTATGCTCAATGATAAATGCTAAATGAAGTTGTTTAGGCCTCCCACCTTTTTGAGATGACAAAGGGGGAGAAATATGTATGATGTGATTCAAATGTTTGGTGTTATATATATATATCATTATCTCATTGTGCTTATATGTCAAATGAATGATATATATCTTTTAATGGAAGCATGTTGACAGGGGGAGATTTATAGAAATCTCTTAGAGCTTAAAATGATCTTGTATGCATATAAATGTCTAAAATTCATGAAGAATATACAAGCATACTATTTTATAACATTATGTTCATTGAATGCACTTTGATAGGGGGAGTAGTTTTCAAATGCTACTCCACTTGCTTATGAACACATCAATGTATTATCATCATTAAAAAAGGGGAGATTGTTGACCTTAAGGATTCCATCCAAGGACAATCTAGAGGTTTTGATGATAACAAATCATTAATGGTGTTTAAGGACTAATGTTCACATTGAGTGTTGTAAATGATTCACATTCAAAGAAGAACCTCAATGAAGATCATAAAGATCATTCCAAGAATTCCATTACTCAAGATCATATCTATGGATAACAAAGGAGATA